CCAAAATTTTTTTTTTTTTTTTTTTTTTTTTTTGGAAGGCCATTATTATTATGCATGTTTGTATTTGTATGTATACTTTATAGTAGTACAATTGATTTGATTTTTTTTGTTTTTTTACTGCAGGGTAGTAATGTCGTGGAGGACCAGGACCTGCTAGAGATCGGGATTTTAAACTCTGCCCACAGACAGCGACTTCTTCAGGCTATTCGCCTGCTGCCCAGGGTGAGTACAGACATCGGGGACATAATAGGGCTCACACAGGGTGCATTCAGCTCCAAAAATATCAGCTAACAATGCATTTGGAAGCAAATTTGTAATTAAAAAGAAATTTAATTCAGCATTCCCTCAGGATTTTCTTTCTTCCATGGAAAAACAATGAAAACTTTTGGTCAATAACAAATAGTTACCAGTGGCTGTAAAGCTCTAAAGATGATATACACAGGCTTCACATCTCTGTTATTACAAATGTAATGGCTCACTCATAAAAGGTTGATAAGTTACGCTCAGGCAATCCTGATGGGAGCATCACTGACTTCGGTGACACAAATACACTGAACTGAAGAGCACTGTAATGATTAGTAGCTGTACGAAACAAAACGTGCTGATCATTGAAATTCTGCATGTGATACATGTGTGTGTCATGGATTTCATTACTAAATGAGGTTTCATGGTATCCACGTTTATCACATACACTTCACAGGGTGAACCGTCCCCCAAGAATAGTCAATTTAAGACCCCCTCTAGAGTAATCCAGCAAAGCTTCTGGCACTGAGTGTGTGTGTATGTGCAGGAGACCTGACATCAAATAAATCTCACTTGTGTCCCAAACAACCTTGCACTCCCCTTTCTCCTTCACAATCTCTGAAAGGACACTGCAGAGGGGAGTGGTTGTGTTGTGATAAGATACTATAGCACACACACACACACACACACACACACACTAATGTGCAAACCTGCTTTTGTTCAAACATAAGTGAAATTTGAATGGATAGTTCAGCCGAAAATGAAAATTCTCATCAGTCATCATTTACTTATCCTCAAGTTGTTACAAACCTGTATGACTGACTTACTTCTGTGGAACATAAAAATATATATTTTGAAGAATGTTCTTGCTGCTCTTTTCCATATTAGAAAAGTGAACGTGGATTTGGGCTACAAAAAAGCACCATAAATGTCTTGCACACAATATACAATAAGTCCTCTTATTGTATAGACCCAATTAAAGTCACTTTTCACTATAATTTTCCACTTTTATGGTGCTTCTTTTGTCATTTTGGAGCTACAATTGGAGCCAAGTTACTTTATATGGAAAAGTAAAGGATGACAGAACTTTCATTTTTAGGTTCAAACTGAAAATGATTCCTTTAATAAAAGAAGTTAACTTTAAGATTATGGACAGGAAATGGCATGTGTGTGAGAAAGAGATATGAAGGCTCACTATGAAAAGAGAAAAACACAACTTTTCATCTGCAGTCAGCGCTTTCAAGCTCTGTTTTAGCTGATAGCTTCTCTCTGTCTGCATTTACATTTATGCATTTGGCAGATGCTTTTATCCAAGGCCTTTTGCTGTGTATTCAATATATATTCTTTTATCAGTAAATATGGTAATGATTCCCTAGGAATAAAACACATAATTTTGTTTTGTTAGCTTGTCTGCCTATTTACCGGCTAGACCAGCGCCAAATCAATGTGGACCAGAATGGAAATTCATGCTAGCAGTCCAAGCAGGTGTTTCCAGTACAGAATAACAACATTTCCTGTTGCTGGTCCTCTTTATTCAAAACCCCAACTGTATCCAGCCTCTGGTTTTGTTACTGATGTGGTAGTTTAACAGTTTTTTCTATGTTTAAGGTTCGGCCCATTGGTTACGATGGAAATAACCCCACCTCAGTGGCAGAATGGCTGGAGTCTCTGGAGCTGGGAGACTATACCAAGTCTTTCCTCATCAATGGCTACACCTCCATGGAGCTGGTCAAGAAGATCTGGGAGATCGAGCTCATTAATGTAAGTCCTGCTTACCTCACTTCCTGTCTGTTGCTAAGTTCTGACCAAATTCAGTTCTAAAAGATTCATTTGTGTTTGGATTGTAAGGGTCACAGTCAAGGGAAACCTGGAAATATTAGGGAATAAAATAAAACATGGGGAAAAATCATGCAAATTGTGAATAAATCTTAAATAAATGTATTAATAATGTAATATAATTATATTTTATTGGCTATAAATCACTCTTTTTGAGTGTATTCTCTATAAAATGATTTATATGTGTATATATATATGTGTGTGTATATATGTGTGTGTGTATATATATATATATATATATATATATATATATGTGTATGTATGTGTGTGTGTGTGTGTGTGTGTATATATATATATGTGTGTGTGTGTGTGTGTGTGTGTGTGTGTGTATATATGTATATGTGTGTATACATCTTTTATAAAAAAGATATGTGAATGTGTGAACCCTGTATTTATACAGACCCAAGTGTTTAGCCGTATATTCTGTTATTGATGTGTTGGTTCTGTTGGAATGAAGCTGTCTTTTGAAACTAGATTTGCTAGAGGACCTTTGAAAAGACAACCAGAGGTTGAGACATCATCCTGAATCATTCTGACGTCCTATTGGCCGATTTGTTGTAATAGAGTTTCGGTTGGCTCTGAATCTTACCTGTAATTGTATTTGTTTGATAAACAATCCTGTCCGATCTGTCTTGCTTTCGACTGCAGTGAAACCACAGATATAATAGTAGCATCTCTGGTATGACACTAAACAGAAGAAATTTCAGGATAACTTGATCTGTTTTTTGAGACTTTATACTGTAGCCTGCACGTTTGGGAAATATTTCTGCAGGAGAACATATATCTGCACACTCATATTAATGCAACTGTTTGAGCTTTCAGGTATTTATCAGCCAAATAAAGGTATATTTTACCTGTAATTCCATAAGTCCTCCAATAGTTATTCCTGCAGCCCGTGTGGGTAAATCAGAAATTGTGAATGCTTAATGGATTTTTTTTTTCCTGTGTGTGATGAAGACTAAATGGCGTGTTTGATGACAGTGAGATCACATGATGTGTTGCTTTAACAGATATGGTGTTAAATGTCTCTAATTACAGCCTCATGTATGCTAATTTCACTCACTTTCAGCCGAGGGAGAGAAAGAGAAACAGAGAGAAGGAATGAGCAGATTATATAATAATGTGGGATGTGATTTCTTCAGCTCTCGAAAAAAATACACACACACCCACTCGCTGTGGAAAGTAACTCGCTGTGGAAAGTAACTAGAATGCTGCAGTGGGAATTAACACATGGTTTGGCCACAAGAGGGAGCCAGAGTGAGAAAAATTAGTGTTTTTATACTTTTGATAGAATAAATTTAGCAAGAAAATGTTGTTGGAGGTATTCTGTTTGTGTTTGCCAATGCTCATTGTGACCATGCAACTGTGGTGAAACACTACCATATTACTACACCTCTTGCCTTTGTGTGTGTGTGTGTGTGTGTGTGTGTGTGTGTGTGTGTTGTTAACATCGTCATTGCCTCCAGCTCAGTTTAATTAACACACAAATTTAATACACAACAACTGATGTTGGCAGAATGTTTGCTTAACATGATTGTGCATATAGGAACCTTTACATGTTATGATGGTCCTATGGTGAATAACTGTCTTTAAAGAAAGTCCATTCAAAAATGTATTTATTTTGTCACCGTTGTTCAAATCCTGTTTCTTTCTTCTGTGGAATACAAAAAGAGAAGTTTAGAAGAATGTTCATGCTGCTCTTCCATATAATGGACATGGAAGGAGACTGCAGCTGTCAAGCTCCTAAATGGACAAAAAAAAAAAACATAAGTTTTTCATAGAAGTCGTCAGTATGAATTGTACACTATATTCCAAAAGTTCTGAAGCCATATGATAGGTTTGTGTGATGATAAACTCTCATATCTCATTTGAGTTATTTAAACATTAATTGAACTAAAGATGACATAAAATAAAATATAAATATTAGAATCAGAATCAGAATCAGAAGAGCTTTATTACCAAGTATGTTTACACACACAAGGAATTTGACTTGACGACAGGAGCTTCCAGTGTAGAAGAAAGTACAAACATAGTGCAGACATACATAGGAATAACACAGTAGGGATGTAATATAACACTAATATAATAAAAAAAGAAAAATGAGAAAAATTTAATAATGTACTATATACAGAAATAGAAGTATAGGAAAAATAATTGTTTAGATAAATGTACAGATATGTTTAGTAGTGTGCAGATATGTTATTTACAAAGTGTGCAGTTTAATATAAATGGACGATGTATAATTATGAAAGATTAATTGTTCAGGCTGAATATAGCCTGTGGAAAAAAGCCTTCTTGTGCCTGGCTGTTCTGGTGGTCAGTGCTCTGTAGCGCCGACCAGAAGGCAACAGTTCGAAGATTGAGTGGGCTGGGTGTGAGGGGTCCAAGGTGATTTTTTTTAGCCCTTTTCCTCACTCTGGAGATGTAAAGATCTTGGAGGCTGGGCAGAGGGGCACCAATAATCCTCTCAGCAGTCCTGACTGTCCGTTGTAGTCTCTTGATGTCTGATTTGGTAGCTGAACCAAACCAGACAGTTATGGATGAACACAGGACAGACTCAATGATAGCAGATAGATAAAGTCGAAGTACTTTACTTACTAAAACAAAAAATAAATTAAATTAAATATTGAAGAAAAAAAATGTAATAAAAAAATAACAAAAGCACAAAATTAATAAAACTTACAACCTTAAATGAAAATATAAAAATAAAAGCTTATTCAATATAAAAATAAAAAATAATAATACTAAAATAACCCATTTTCCATATGTGATTGGTCACATTGTATTTGTCAATTCTAAGAATAAAAGTAGATAGTGGCTATGTTTCCATCACCCTGTTTTTATGCGCATTCTGAACATTTCTGAAAAAAAATCCCTTAATTCGCAAAAATGTTTTTTCGCTTGCTTGAGGTGGTTTTTGACTTGTTGTTTTTACTTGATGAGCATCAAAAAAGTTTTTGCACATCATCTGAAATGTTATGGTCATTCTGAAATGCCTGAGTAAAGTCTATCATCAAAGTATTTCTGTATAATTGCCTCCCGGAACTGTCTTACACGACTGCGTTCCCAAACAGCAGGCATCCACCTCCGAAAGCAATGACTGCATTTATTGTGTCTCGTCTACTCGCTCTGAGGCGCAACTAGTTTATTATATATGAAAATTATTATATTCAGTGGCTTCTCATACATTACTTAGTGATATTTAGTGCCAGTTTATGAGGAATTGACAAATTTGTTCTCTTTGACTCGTTGGATGGAAACTGTGCTTTATTAGCAAATGTTTAATGCGATATTCCAATTTTCGCAGCTTTGGATGGAAACCCAGCTAGTGAAAAGAAACAATTTTGGTGAATAACTTTTGTTCTGTTCCTCACAGAATACTACCTTCAAAAGACTTGATATAGCGCACAAATCACATGGACCACTTTATAGATACTTTTAAATAGCCTGCAACCCAGTTCACTTAAATGGCAGCACATTCTTCAACATTTCTCCTGTTGTGTTAAATTGAAAGTCATACAGGTTTGCAACGACATGTAGGTGAGTTAAAGCAAAACATTTATTATTGCATGAAAAACTATCCCTTTAACACAAGCACAGGCTTGCAGGTGGATATGCAGAGAGCGATCTTCTTTGACTTTGTGTGTGTGTGTGTGTGTGTGTGAGTGGTTGAGCTGTTCACGGAATGGGACGTTCTGAACTTCCCCTAATGAGCCTTGGTACAGACAGATCACAGAGCGCCTCTGTCTCCCGGGTCGCTGTCCTGAACTCTCTGCTGTAAATGAGACTGAGAGAGACTCTCAGAGTAAGAGAAGACACTTTATGCAGTGTAGTACACAGCGGTGCCCCCGTCTGAAGCCAAGACGAGGAAGGGAGAGAAAGAGACACAGAACACTGCCTTGTTTTCGTGTTTCCTAGAGAATGTCATCCTTAAAATGAAACATGCTGACCGATAGCACAGCAGAAGTAGTTTGGTTCAGAGATTGAGAAGCGATAGTGTAAAGAGAGGCAGGGGAGAAGAGAGAAAGAGGGCAATGGGAGAGAGAAATAGCATCTGAGTGGGCCAGATTAAATCAGCTCATAAACACTCAGGGCAACAGATACAGAGGCTGCTGGACGAGACCGTGACGAGACGTGTGTTATTGCTGTTCACAAACACAATTAGCCAAGCACACTGTGGCGTAATAAGGTCAAAGTTCATTTTATACCATATTATGCACCTAATAGGTTTTTAAAAGAAGTTGCTTGTGCTCCCCAAGGCTGCATTTATTTGAAAAAAGAAAACGGGAATATCGTGAAATATTCTCGCAATTTAAAATAAATGTTTTCTGTTATTCCTGAGTTTTCAGTCCTCGGTGTCTCATGAACCTTCAAATCTTTCTAATATGCTTCTAAAGCATTTCTTACCACCAGTTTTGAAAGCAGTTGTGCTGCTTAATATTTTAGATTAGTTTTAGATTTTTTTCAAGATTCTTTGATGAATAGAACGTTCAAAAAAGAACAGCATTTATTTAAAACAGAAATCTTTTGTAACATTATAATGTCTTTAACAGTTACTTTTGAACAATTGAACGCAACCTTGCTGAATAAAAGTATTAATTTCTTTAGAAAAATCTTTTTCCAAACTTTTAAATGCTATTAAATATCTACATATAATGTGCTATATATTTAATATTACGGTATTTGTCATATTATTATATGTTTATTTGCTTACTGTCTCTCATATTTGACTGCTATTGTTTGATTCTATTCATATATTAAGTAAGAATAAAATTTGAATCAAGGCAAGTCCACTTAATGATCCAATATGTCACCTGAATCAGCTTGATCTCACTCTTGGATTGACTGAGACATTATTCCTTATATTCCAAAATCCCACTTCTCAGCCTGTTCTTTATGTAGTAACCTTATGGATGCCATAAATG